CATTAAAAACACAGCAAATATTTTTACGAATCATGGCTCTGTGAAACTGCTTTATTGCCATCTTTATCACAAATTGTTATTAACATGTGTGAAAAAACAGAATAGAAAGAAAAACAGTACTTTTTCTTTTATAAATTGTGTAAGAATATTAGCGGTTTTTCCCTCTTTTTTTAAGTTTTAGACGCAGAAGACTCGCACAAAATCTCGCTTAGAACCTTGAAAAATTGTTTTCTGTAGGTTTGACGACGTGCTCTTTCATTTGGGCAGGTCAAGGAAATTTTTTAGTGAAAATGGTTTTTCGATTGAAAAACCAAGATCTTTAAAAAACGGGTCTTTAAATCGAAAGCGGGCAAAAACCATTGTGATATTCGGAATTAGCACGTTCGATTATCTATTGTCAACTGAGTTTAAGCTCAAAAGCGACGAGGCAGTTGGTGATCTTCCCTCGTAAGGTCAGATACACATTCAATGAAAATTAATTACTGTACTCCCTAGTGAATAGTAAAGTGAGTTGGCGCGAATGTGTGAATGTAAAAATCTAACGGCAGAGGAGTGCTAGGGCTTCAGAAAAAACGTTCATAACTCTCAAACCATGGATTTCCAAGATGTGGTTTAGATCCACTTTTGTCGAGGACACTTCAGACTGTATATATATGAAACAAATCCACAAATTTCTGTCTGTTTTCATAGAACCAAACGGGTTTTCCACAGATCTCCTGAAAAACGGATCTCTAAAATTTTTTCTAAATTTGTTTTTGCTTATGAAAATATAGCTTCAGGTCTTCGCTAGCGAATGATGAAAATTGCAAGTCTCTATCTCTTATTCGTTTTGAGTTATTCAAAAAATAATCACTGGTCTTCTGTTATGGCACCGATGGGTAGTGCAACAAACATCAAAAAAGAAAGAAAAAGGAACGGAATATACACATAGTAGAGATTACCAGCCCTGTTCTCGAAGACTGTTGACGGAAAAGGGAAAACCAAACTAACTTTCTTAATTTGAAATATGAAAACGTTTGTTTTACTTAGATCAGCAAATCCGTTTTCGACAAAGTACTAATTTTTCAGACGAAAAAAGAGTTTTTTCTCGACCGGCAAGCCGACCAACCGGTCAAAAATTTCTGACCGGATCGAACTGGCCGATTGTCGTAACTGGTTACATCTCTGTTTTCCAGAATTTTCCGATGAGTTTTCGTGGAGATATAAACATCGCGGCAAATGCCCTGAAAAAGTCGCCTATGTACAAAATGAGTTTCATTGAAAACAAACTCTAATGCAGAATAGTCGATAAGCTATGTTTTCGTTCATTTCCAATGTTTGAAAATGCCTCTAGTGCTCAAGTTACAAGGACATGAAATTGATATTGTAACCTTGTTTTGCCAACTGGAATAGGAGTGTTAGATGAGAAAGTTGGTCTTGCATAACTCTTTCCTATCTTGACAAAATTTAATGCCATCTGGTACGTAAGGATTTCAGACCATGCTCTTTCTTTTGTGTAGCGGACTCTTTCCTCGAAAATGCTCGCAAGTAGGTTTTCTAGAAATCGCGGTTTTTGACATACAGGTTTCGAATAAAAAACTTTTCTAGAAAACCCAGCAAACGATGGAACATTTTTAATTACATGACTGCGTTCAGCAAACAATGGGCTACGTTTTGAAAATAAAATCAAGTCTCCATCTTTGAATTAAAATTTTGAAATTAAATTTTAAATTTCAAAATTTGAACTATTTTTAAAATTTAAATAACTCCACACTGGAAAGGGATGGAGACATCGGCCAAACGACATTCGATAGGAAACTGAAAACTGAACAAACATAGGAAGTTGCGAAGTTTTCAGCTAAACGTTTGTATCAAAAGATTTTCTCAAAATCCTTTAGCGGCCTTTTGACCAAAATTGCAAAATCTTTAAAACCTTCAGTTTTTAAGCTAGAGACCTGGTTCAGTCGCCATTGGATAAAGCGCATCGAGGTGCATATGTGTCAACACTGTTTCGCTGATCGGTTGACCTTAAACGTTGTGACAAATTTGTTACGTTATTCTAGCTGTGTTTCCTATAGCGAAAGGGGTCCATTATACATTAGGAAGTTGTCAGCCTGCAGTACTGCCGCTAGCTTAGGCCTCGATCTCCTGAAAGACTTTTCCTTTTACACTTCCTTTTACAAATTCTGAATGCTACAACCATTTCATCACCGAAAACCGCTAGGGAAAAGCAAAAAATTTGTCACAACGGTTAAGGTCATCCGATCAGCGAAAAACTGTTGGCACATGTGCATCTCGATGTGCTTTATCCAATGCCAATTGAACCAGGTCTCTAGCTTAAAAAAGATTTAGATAGACGACACGATTTTTCGAGGTCATATCGATTTCTCCATTAGTTTATAGATTCGTGTCATGGATAGATACAAACTAACAAAAACCGCGTCCTTTTAACTCGGTCGGATGAAATTTACGAGGGGTCGTAATGTGGTCCAATGAAACACCAATTTTTTGGGGAAACTGGTGAACGACAATAGTTAAAAATCTGAAACAAAACGAAAAAGTATTCCATTGAGTTTCGAATCAGTTCTGAAAATATGAAGCCTTAATGATCTTTATTTTACAGCATTTTACAACCCAAAAAGAGAAGAGGGGTTAATATTCTTTGAAATGTACCATGTGCAGCAGGCAAAAATTTTTTGTTTTGATTGCTTCTACTGCATAATTTCGTATTGGTGTCATTTTAGAAAAAAAAAACTGTTGTTTTTTGTAACAGTTAATACCGTTTTCTTCTTTCTGTCGTTTAAAATACTGACGTTTATTGTATATAGTATGATAAATATGTTTGATCACAAGAACGGGATACAGTATATAGTAATCAAAAAAAGCCTAAAATAATACTTCTAGTCAAACGTAGCTATAGACTATGCATATAAAGTGCGAGAAAGAAGAAAAAGAAACGTATTATTGCATGATTCATGTTCATAGAAATGAAAATATTCGCCTTTTCAAATAAAACTGAATTGAAATGGTAACGAATCGAGTATTTTTAACATTTAAACCTTTAAGCTTTTTTTCATGTCAGATACTAGTTTAAACATTTATTGTAAACCAGGTAAAGATTTTTCTTTAAAAAGACATGTGTGTACAGGCCTGCATGGCCTGTACACACATGTCAAACAATTTTGTCAAAACAAAGAAAATTTAAAGAACTGTCCATGCTCGTGGATGTCCATGGTCATGTCTATCTAATGCAGGACTCTACATGTGTGCGAAAATTTGAATAAGATTACAAGAGAGCTACAGTACGATAAGTGAATTAGGCATTTCTGAATGAAATTGAATAGTCATACTACAGATAGTTCAAGTAGAGGGAGGATCAAAAGTAAACGGCTTTATTTAACATTCATGAATCAAAATGAGTTCGTTCTTCTTTATCATACTACTAGGTTTTCTGAGCCGAAGTATACATTCCTTTTCTATAAGTAATTTTTAATTACATAACAAAATCCACAAAATCTCTGATTTGTTATATCAGATGCTATGATAATTTGAAATTATCCATTTGTTTATAGTCTCAGTTTTCGTTTCTTTAGACTCACCACAAATTAATCGACATAATAACGATCAACGTTTACATAATCTATTTTATCGAAAATCAAAATTAGAATCTGTGAATGAAACATCAGCATTATTGTCTGGTTTTGCCATTGTACGTATATTAATTCTTATATTAACTAAGTCAATCTATTTCTCTTATAGGTTGCAATAGTTGAATTATCATTGGATTCTTATACAAGTCAAAATCCTGGAAATACTTTAATAATTTGTTATGCAATAAGTATAGAATATTTGATGTGTTTTCTATGTTTAATATTTCTTTTTCTGCTATATTAGTATCATGTTTACTTGTTGGTATTCATCTTTTGGCATTACTGATGTCAATGTGTATTTTACCTGAATTAAAAAATGTTATTCGACAATCGGATGTATGGATTAATTATGAAGATAAAAAACCGTTAGCAAGTATGAACATTTTTATTGAAGTGGCATGGGTCGTGTCGACTGGTCTTGGTTTATTTTTATTTATATTAGAATTGGGTCTTATTTTATGGATAAAAGTCAGTGGTTTTAGTCGAACTGCAGCCATTTCGGCTATTATAACTTTGACTTTTATTAGTTGTCCATTTTTATTATTTGCTATCGGATTTTATTATCGTGTTACAAAAGCAAAAGTATCATTACATGCGAATAATTTATCAAAGCTTGAACGAGGTGCAATTGCTAAAGGACTTTTTTTAAATAAAACTTAAAGCGAATAATACTTTACATATTCATTATAGTTTACGTATATTAATATATTTTTGTAATAATTCGACTTAATACAATAAAATTAAATCTGCACTTCAAACCTTCGTGCTTGAGATCAAGTACTCTTTTTTTCCAAACAAATATTCGTAATGTAAAAATAGTTATACACATAAGACATCAATAGTAATATTTTTAATTATCGATGTACAACGGATATCATCATACTCTATAAAATTTAATTATACTCTCTAAAGAATCTTCATTTCTTTTGTTTAAAGTTTTTGTCATAGAGTTGAACAAGATATGTAATTTTGATGCTTTAGAGGATCTGATTGAAAAAGGAGACTGAATAAAAGAAAGTAGACTCAATTGATCTATAACCTATTGCAATGATGGGTTTTATACGATATAAACAATCAGCTACTCATTTTACGTTTTTAAAAGTAAATTTCTTTGCAGTAGAAGGCGATCTTTTCATTTTTCATAAATGCAAGTTCCTTTGCGTCGGAGGGTACAAAATAATGTCTACGTGTGATTACTCTAGACTTTTAGAGAAGAATGCACGCGCCACTGACGCCACACGATCTGGAGGAAAAAAATAAATCAGAGTCCAGACCATAGTAGATTCTTCACGTTAAAAGAAGTTGTGTAAGTTCATGTCAGAAATTCAGACAAAAGTCGATACAGCGCTTTTTATATTTTATCTGGAAAACATTCACTGAATAAAGAAGTGCGTCTGCTACTTTCTCGTCATTTGTCCTTCTTAACAGATACTTCCCAACGTAGATAGTCATGATGTTTATGGTAGAATTAGATGTCTAGTAATAAGTTTTCGTCGATGCATTCATTTGAACACAGTTTTTGACTAACTTCTTCCTTACTTTTTTAAAGGCTCACATTTTGATACTTTCGTATTTCGAGAAAACTGCATGATATCCGACGTGATCTTTGTATTGCGCTTTTCAAATTAAGTATTTTTGTATAACTGTTGGTGCTCTTTTTAACAGAAAAAATTAGCTTTATATCAGCATATTGGTCAATCAATAAATTTGTAGTGAAGTACTATCCATGTCTTTAATACCGACAAAATATTGCGGTAACCGGTAATATTAAAAAAAAAGTGCATGTGTTTCATTAAATTTTTTCCACCAATTCACTTAATTACCGATCAAACAAATAATTATTTAGCGACTAACGAAATGTTATTATTTACTGACACTCTTATATTCACATTGTTGTGATCAAAAAGGCTGTCGAATACTGTTTTTCTCCTCTCAATTATACGGTTCTATAGCATTAATAGTCTTAGAAATTAATTATAATCACCTTGCCTCGTTTTGCTTTTTAAACTCGGTTTCATTTGTACTTAAGGGTCCCCTCCTCAGAATGAAATTTTCTTGCATCAAAAAATCAATTCCGCGTCAAGCCCATAGAAAGATAGCCTGGAGTATCTACTTTCAGAATCTGTATCGCTTTCGGGCTCAGAACTAGCTTTTCCTGGTTTTCGGGCAAGTTTTCTAGAAGCCTTGAAAACCAGGATCTTCAAATAATAATTTTTTCTGAACACGTGGATTTGTAGAGCAGACTTTTCTGATCAAAATAAGACGTTGCACAACCCTGTATGATCTTGCGTCCAAAAATTACAAGCATTTTCCTACATGTCCTAAAATAGACCAACGCATGCAGAGCGTTTTCTCTCAAAACACGTTTTTTGTTCGAACATGCCCAGTGTGGGACACTTTTTTTAAATATAATTCAAGCTAGAGATCTCGGGTTGGTTTTATTTTAAACTAGACAACTAACTGCGTGGACTGATGGGATCAAACTAGTAAACTATTCAAAAATTGACTCCCATCAGTCCACGCAGTTAGTTGTCTAGTTTAAAATAAAACCAACCCGAGATCTCTAGCTTGAATTATATTTAAAAAAAGTGTCTCACAGTAGAGGGTGATTTTTTTACCTTGGATATCCATATCTGGCCTTCCTTTCAGTTGATTTACAGTTTATTCGAAATCAACAAACAAGTGTATATAATGTATTCATATAATGTATGTCATTTGCTACTTTTCTTTCACGAGAGACCTACCTTTAGTTGCAAATCGCTTTTGCGATCAGATTAAGTGAACTAAGGTAACCGAGGGTGCTGAATTCGAATATGATACTCGTTTTGCCTGCTACGTCTTCTGTGACGAAAAAACATCTTTCGAAGGTGGAAAACTTTTTTCCAAAATCAATTTTCTGATCTGCCCAGATTGTAGAACACATCGAGCTGGCTATGTAGATAAATTTTTTCGATTACTGGACGACTATTGGTCAAGCTATAAACACTTTTCAAAAGTCCTATGTGAGTAAAAGATATGCTCGCGCACTTGTGTCTGTCTTACCGGTATTTTCCTTCTTTTTCTTATGGGATAACAACTTTGTTTTTTGTTTTAAATACCAAATGAAGGCATGAGCGTTACAATGTTGTCGATGAAATTAATTCTGAAGGCAAACATCGTTGATCGTGGAAAACAGTGCACAACAGATTTAAAAGCGTCACACATCAGTCATACGACTCACATTTTCAAAAATATTTAAACCAGCACAAACAAGAAAATTGAAGAAAAAAAAGTGAATCAGTGAACTCGTTTTCAAACTTTTTAGCACCACACATGCAGACTCTTCACTAGTTCGTGACACTGACTGACGACGGAATTAACAGCAGCTCGTAAACCTCATTATGAGGAGTTTCAAGCATTCAATTACTGGCTAGCAGTTTACTCTTTACTTTTTGCGGTGCTGTTAGTTTCTTAAAAGTTCACAGAACTGTTGAACAACGAAGAAGACCAAACGCTGAGAAGAAAGCTTTGAGGTAAAAGTTGGTCACCTAGTGCGAGAAACGATAGGAATTTTGCGAAAAAAGTTCATAACTTGACCAACAGTCGTCCGGCAATCGAAAAACTTTATCTACTTAGTCAGCCGGAGGTGCTCTACAATCTGGACAGACCAGAAAAGTAGTTTGGGAAAAGAGTTTTTCACCGTCGAAAGACGGTTTTCCGCCACTGAAGACCTAGCAGGCAAAACGAGTCTCATATTCGAGTTCAGCACCCTCGACTACCTTAGTCCACTTAATTTAATCGCAAAAACCATCTGCAACTGAAATTTCCTCGAAATTGACTCTCAATGAAGTTCATAATACTCTTTTGTTCCCTTTTCCGTCAAAGATGCTCATAGCTTGGCCAATCAGAAAAGCAGTTTGGGAAAAGAGTTTTTCACCTTCGAAACACGACCTAGCAGCCAAAACGAGTGTCATATTCGGATTCAGCACCCTCGACTACCTTAATCCACTTAATTTAATAGCAACACCGATTTGCAACTGAAATTTCCTCGAAATTGACTCTCAGTAAAGTTGATCATAGTTTTTTGTTCCATTTTCCGTCAAAAATGTTCATAGCTTGACCAATCCGAAAAGTAGTTCGGGAAAAGAGTTTTTCACCTTCGAAACACGACCTAGCAGCCGAAACGAGTGTTCAGCACCCTCGACTAGCTTAATCGACTTAATTTAATCGCAACACCGATTTGCAACTGAAATTTACTCGAAATTCACTCGTCCTTTTTTCCTCAAAAATGTTCATAGTTTGAAAAACAGTCGTCCGGTAATCGATTAACTGTATCTGCTTAGTCACCTGGAGGTGCTCTACAATCTGGACAGATCAGAAAATTAGTTTTGAGAAAAAAATGTTTTTCACCTTCCAAACAGGATTTTTCCTCAAACAACACCTAGCGGTCAAAACCAGTATCATATTCGAGTTCAGCACCCCCGACTACCTTAACGCACTTACTTTAATCGCAAAAGCGATTTGCAACTGAAATTTCCTCGAAATTGACTCTCAGTAAAGTTGATCATAGTTTTTTGTTCCTTTTTTCGTCAAAAATGTTCATAGCTTGACAAATCAGAAAAGTAGTTTGGGAAAAGAGTTTTTCACCTTCGAAAGACGACCTAGCAGCCAAAACGAGTATCATATTCGAGTTCAGCACCCTCGACTACCTTAATGCACTTACTTTAATCGCAAAAGCGATTTGCAACTGAAATTTCCTCGAAATTGACTCTCAGTAAAGTTGATCATAGTTTTTTGTTCCTTTTTTCGTCAAAAATGTTCATAGCTTGACAAATCAGAAAAGTAGTTTGGGAAAAGAGTTTTTCACCTTCGAAAGACGACCTAGCAGCCAAAACGAGTATCATATTCGAGTTCAGCACCCTCGACTACCTTAATCCACTTAATTTAATCGCAAAAGCAATTTGCAACTGAAATTTCCTCGAAATCGAATCTCAGTAAAGTTGATCATAGTTTTTTGTTCCTTTTTTTCTCAAAAATGTTCATAGCTTGACCAATAGTCGTCCGGTAATCGAATAACTTTATCTACTAAGTCAGATGGAGCTGCTCTACAATCTGGACAGATCGGAAAATTAGTTTGGGGAAAAGAGTTTTTCACCGTGGAAAGACGGTTGTCCGTCACGGAGGACGTAGCAGGCAAAACGAGTATCATATTCGAGTTCAGGACGCTCGCCTAGCTTAATTCACTTAATTTAATCGCAAAAACGATTTGAAACTGAAATTTCCTCGAAATTGACTCTCAATAAAGTTCATAATGCTTTTTTGTTTCTTTTTTCGTCATCAGTTTAAAAAAACATGAAAAAAAGTTTGTCCCTGGTGTAAAAGGTCTCTTAATTTTCTTTGAAATAATGACATCATAGCTGTTTTTTCAACAATATCGAAAATAGAATGTTTACCTAAAAGTACGATTACCCGTACTTCTATTTAAAATCTGTACTGAAGAAGTTTGATGATGGATTAGGATTTTCTTTTCACTAGACTAACTAATGAGCGTGAGTAAAGTAAATCGTTAGTGTCGTACGGCTTCCAGCGTTAAATTATACTTATTTTTACGTTCTGGTTGTAGGTTAATTAATTTTCTGGAGCGATTTTCAAAAATTACTGATTTATTCTATTATCAGTTACCAGAGGATTTTCAAAGTTTCATGAATTAATCACTATTTCACAATCTGGAAGTTGTCCTCTTTTGGACAAATTGTTGTGGCGAACCTAAAAAAGATGCTTAGAAAAAGAAAAAAACTTGATAGAAGTATTGGCATAAATAACAATATTAAACTTATAAGCGTATCTAGAGCTTGACAAAAAAGAAAATTATAGATATTGTCGTGATATTGTTACTAATCACTCTTATGAAATATCTTTCAAAATTTAATTAAAGCGAGATGTCTAAGTATAAGTTCAAATTAATTTATTTATAAGAAAAGTTTTTAGTATAAATGTCCTCCGTTGTTTTTATTGCATTCTGAACGAATGTTGAGTCACTGGTCAGATGTTCTACATTGAACCGTTACTTGTATAATCATATTAAATAAAACACACAACGCAATGAGATATGTTTGGTTATGAACTCAACAGTTTGATATATACTTGACACGGAAAATCCTATGATTGACCTTTTTATTAACATGTATGACAGTTCATTTACTTTATCATCATGATAAAAAAATGAACAAAGTGAATACGTAACGCAATATGGTGGCATCAATAAGAATATTTTATATACTTTATTGATAAAGACATAGTTGATTAAAACTTTGACCTTCATATACACATTCCTATAGTCTTTTTTTATCTTAAAAGAATGTTAGTGTTTTTAATTTACAACTAGTCAGCGTAATATCTTAGTTTATGAGAACGAGAAAATATCGTTGACAATAAACATAGTTTTTCTGTCTCGTATTCAATATTTATTGTCAAGAATAATCATTTAAATTCTATTATTAGAGAGCCGACATTGTATTATGGCTTCAATTCTACTTGTTGACTTTATTATTGTTCTACTTAAGTTAAAACTATAACCATGACTGTATATTTAATTTTTGTCAACAATAAAATCTTCAAATCAACATACTATGATTCAATTCGCAATTTTATTCATAGATGAAACCATACATACGACATATGCAGACGCAAGAAAGCAGACGTTTATAATACAATTAAATAGTGTCTTTTTTCCAGAAATATTTACATTTAAGTGTGAATAAGAAGAATGAAAAAATTTCACTTGACACACTATTATTGTTTTTAATCCATTCAGTAACAATAACAGAAATTTTCTTGAAATATGTCCTTGTGTTCTGAAGAATTTGCAAAAAAATGTCGTCTATAATGGTGTAAAAACAAAAAGATTTATTCATTATAATCTTTTCAATGGACAGTATTGGTCGAAGAATATTTCATTTTTTATGAACTTGTTATAAAAGGAGGTTAGTTTTATTTCATAAATTTTACTAAGTTATGTCCACTTTATACATTGCTTAATCGGCAAACTGCCGGAAAATCGTCTTCAGAACAGAAAGATAGAGAGAGAGACGATCGACAGACTGGTCTAAAACAAAATCAGTGAGAAATGAAAGTTAGTGTCCGTGAAGAATTCCGTATGACTTTTATAATGTTCATTTAATTACGCTATATAGCATGTTATATTCTAAAATAGATTTTCTATATTTATGTAATGTAAAGAAAACGTTTTTATTATGTTTGTCAATTATTTTTTTACTTTCAGAAAACAATTTGAAGAACGATAATTGTTTTATTGTTAAAAGAAAAGTAGCCTGTGTGTAGCCTGAAAAATATCTCAATATTACAATAAAATAGAACAACATAGGATATTATATTATAAGATATACAGGTATGTTCAACGTTTCGTTTTTACCTAGATATTTTCAAATTATATGATAAGTCGTCAAGATCTCTAATGACACAAAAGTTGTTTGTTATTTTTACTTTAACTAATTCGAGCAAACCGTTTTTTTTTTTTTTTTGAAAAATATGTTTGTATATCAGAGAACATTTACAAACACATTACACCACTGTCCATTAGTGAGTGATATACAAATGGTAGAATATCTTCAGCAAACCGATATACATATCATAAAAGACAGCATAGTTAGTATATTCATGTATTCTCTCTCATTTTATTATATAAATATGAATACATATATTTTCATCGTAACTAGAATAGAAGTTGAGCATATCTGAGGAATGAAATATACAGTCGATTTTCGTACGCAATAACTGTAGTAGTACTAGATGTAGTAAAGATATATTTTGTCATATAGGTTTACTTTTTTTTTTTTCTTTCGTGCTGTTGCAACCACAGAAAAACATATGAGTTCCATCTTCCATAAAGAAAAAGGTTGAGTTGTATTTTTTTTTTTTTCTTCATTTATTCTGTCACTCCAATAAATACTATACAATTAATTACAGTTTTTCTTTCTCCTTCGACTCTTACAACTAGTTTATAATGTAAAGTTTGTACAATTACAATTTTTATTTCATCTATAGAACAGAACTCTCTTTTAGTTTCGTTTATAAACAATTGTGATGTTGATAATGAGATTTCGTTAACCTTTCAAACTTAGAGAGAGAGAGAGAGAGAGAGAGAGAGAGGGAGAAAGAGAAAAAGAAAGAGAGAGATACCACACAGTGCGTAAAAAAAACATTTTAACAATTTTTAAAAACCAATTGTTTCCTATCCCTGAAACTCTTTTACATATAAACAAAAAACAGAAATGCAATAATAGGTGAATAAAACTGATTATTTCTTGACACTACTATAGTAAGTCCTTGATCAATCGTATAATACTGGGTAAGTTCAAAAGATAGGGATAGAATAGAGTAACAGTTTTAGTCTATCTTATTAACTTTTATCCGTTTATTGCGACTACTTATCTACTTGCGATGATAATTTTCAGATAGATTATGATTTCTAATATGTCTGAACATTTGAGAAGATGAAATTGATTAAAATCAACTTTAATAGTTTATTTAAAACATATTGTCAGTCTATACATTTCATCAACGATATTTCAGCATTATACAACGATATTAATTATAAAAATGTCGAAAAATGATAACGGTTGAACATCATGCTCATAGTTGGACGACAATTCACCCTTACTACTCAAAACTCAATTTTATCAGTTTATTCTCTAATCACTACACTGTTAATATTTCATCTATTAGATCAATTTCAAGCACTACCACACATGGTATTAGGTGATAAAACTTATAAACATTATCATCATCATCATATACCTTTAAACAAAACACGAATTCGTTTACCACAACATCTTTTTGCTATCGAACAACAAACAGACAATTTTCTCAATATACTTTTAGAACGTTCAAGGGCCAATAGAGACACATATGATGAACGACAAAAATTAATAAGTACATATAAAGTTGTTAGTAAAACCCAATGTATGTTACAAATGTTAAACAATGGAACAGTTAATGCAAAACATGTTAAAAATCTTGAAGATAGTGAAGAAACACAATGGGGTAAGACAAATACATATTTTTTAACATTTCAGTGAAAGGCGCTTTTAAAATTATTCTTACTAGTTTACTTTCAATTTATATCGATAGTCTAGTTTTGAATCAATTAAAAGTATATACAATGACTTTTTTAAACAGAATGAAATGCTTTTGGTCTATACATTGGCCGTGAAGTACAAACAATTTGATTAAATATAATATAATATGTAAGACCCTCGTCTTATTTCTCGACACCATACGATAGCAATTTCCTAGATGTACACGTTAAGGCATATTGCACTGTTGAAAGCTTTAATAATTGAGTGATGATGCGACGAGAACTATTCATTTATCTATAATGATAGGCCTGTCCGTCTATGGAATAGAGATATCAAGTCTCAACAAAACGATCTATAATCATTAAACAGTGCAAATTGAATATAGAGAATTCTTCCTTCGAATCAAATTCTAATATCAACCCTGAAATATGATGGAACGACGCTTTTCGAGGACATTTAGCAGGATTATTATATTAAAATAGATCATCTAGTGGTTATAACGAGAGTGTTCACTTTCAGATTTCAACTTTCACAACATGAAAGAATTCTTTCCTGTTAAAATGACTCCATGTATCAGTTAATTTCAAAAGATATTCTAAAATTGCATTGAAAACCAGAGACTAAGTGTATGATGATACCACTAATGTACATATAAAGTGAAGCTCAAACGCTTACTCTACTTCTTGTTCTCTCTAAAAGTTCTACTCTTTCATAACTATGTCAAACATCTTTTTCATCCTTCAGTAAGATAGAGAAAATATTCTCTTCGAAGTCATACGATTTGTACTATTTCATGATCTTTTTTCACAGGGTTATGGCTTTTGCACTACAAACTGACTTCCGCTTTTCATAATACATGAAAAACGCGTAACTCTGCTACCAGAATCTCTGTGCGTTACCGTTTTTTCTCTTTTCGCCTATCCTATAATTTTCGGAAAGAATATCGTAGAATCCTGGAAAGCGTCTTGTTTTGTAGAATGAAGTGCATTCTTCAAAATCCACTACTAGGTCAGTTCAAAATAATTGACGCTTTTTATGTTGTACTTGAAATACGAAGAGCCCCAAAAACATTGTCGTTTGTTTTTAGGACTTTTAGTATTTCGATTGTAACCGAAAAGTCGTCAATTATTTCGAATTGAGCTAGTAGTGGATTTTGAAGAATGCACATCATTCTACAAAACAAGACGCTTTCCAGGATTCTACGATATTCTTTCAGAAAATTATAGGATAGGCGAAAAGAGAAAAAACGGTAACGCACAGAGATTCCGGTAGCAGAGTAAAAATCCATTATAATTAGTTAAAACTTCTGTTTCTTTGAATTGGTGTATGCCTAGTTATATGAGCTTTATATCCAACGTCCCACAAGAAGTCACAGCCTGATTACCGATCGCTTTAGAGTTTGTGGTGCAAAGGTCATAACCCCGTGAAAAAAGATCATGGAATAGTACAAACCGTATGACTCTGAAGAGAATATTTCTCTATCTTACTGAACGATGAAAAAAATGTTTGACATAGTTCTGAAAGAGTAGAACTTTTAGAAAGAACAAGAAGTAGACTGATCGTTTGTGTTCTAGCAGTATAATCATCTTTTATAATTAAATCAGCAATTAGATAAGAAAAATAATATCATCCTTGTATAACAGATTGTTTGTACCTGAAGTATTTTCCGACAAAAAACATCGTTAAAAATTCTACAAATACGTATAAAACTGTCTACTGATAATGTTGAAAACATGAAAACTAACTTAATTAGTATAATCATTTGTTTTTAAAAAACTGAAATTTTTATTTTTTTTTCTTAAAATTCATATAAACGTTATTGAACTTGAAGAAACAAATTCTTATTAGCTGTAATTCAGTTATTTTTTTCAAAGTATCAGTGTGCATGTCATTAATCATTTATTCAACAGCTTATTATCACGTCTTCATGTTACAGTCTCGGTAATATATTCTAGGTACTATAAAAGACCAATGTTCCTTGATTCAAAATTACCATTTGCTCTGTCTGTACAATGTTAGATACAATTTGTGATTTTTTACAGTGTTTCTTTTGTTTATCAAAGTATTACTGTTATTTTCCAGAACGCTATTCTGACTACTACAAGCATTGTACAGATTATATAATCAAAATGATGCCGCTCTCTAATTACGGTAGTCGATATCATAAAATTCACAAATACATTAAAAAAAAATAATATATATGATGTAAAACTTTCACCTTCTAGTCATATTTCTATTAACGTTATGTTTATTTGCATTAGAAGGAAATACCCATCAACTATAAATACACTTGATTAGTCCTGAATTGATAAGAAACATTTGACTTGTTATTATGGTCAATTTCCTTACACATCTTAAGAGAGGCAAAACAGTATTTGTTCAAATACAATAAAGACAATATTCTCTATTGACTTTATTATTTAGAAGAATGAATATTTTCATTTTGAATAGGCTAATGGCAAGGTTTTTTTTTCCAAAATAGACGAATATTAGCCGAAAAATCTTTACTTTGTAATATCTTTTTGTTCGGACGTCTCGTCTACAGAACACTTGTTGCATTTGTAGAGATAAAAATGTACCAAAAATGGACACTGTAGAATGCTGTCCACGATTCAAACACATAATGATAAAAAAAGAATTTTCTTTTATTTATTGAACTACAATTGTGAACAATAGAAAGTTAGTGGAATAAACTTCACTTTAATTAAAACTATTCATACAATAATTGATAAAATTACTTAAAAGTATATAGTATTCCTTATGATAAAATTGTAGCTAATGTATTTTAAACTTCAAAATTCAGAGTTCAGTCGTTTATTTCAGAATATTCTTTGTTTTTTATTATAGGTGTATTTATGTTCATTCCAATAGCAGTGAATCTGTTTTTAATACAAAATAAAAATTCCAAACTCTATCTATGTGGTCGACATAATCAATTATTTGGCATGGTAATGAATTCTCTATTCTTTCTTTCTTTCTTTCTCTCTCTCGACTTTTCTTATGCTCAACTTCTATTTTAGATTAATCGTAATGAAAAACAATGTGTATTTGAAAGTAGACGTTCGGATATTGATTTTGGTCGATGGGATTCATTTCGTTTATTTTATGAAGAACCATCAAAAGGCTACATATCAATATCAAATAATTGTAACACTCGTTTACGTAAAAAATTTGACAATGATAATTATTTACAATTTTTAGCATTTGTTCGAATTAATACTGATAATAAACAATCATCTCTAACAATTTCTAGTCAACCAAATAAAAATAAAGTATTGTTATCATCACGTTATCGAAATAATAATAATCATTCCAAAACAAATATTGATTATCGTCAACGAATTCAATTTCCAACTCAACCAATAATAATTAGTACAATTACGACAACCATGACAACTACTCCATCAATGACAAAACAATATTTTCGTCTTCATAGAACTATCTATCAGACATCCTTACCATCGTCTCTAAAACAACAACACTTTATAGATCCTAAATTAATTATTAATGTTCATAGTACAACAATACATCCTCCCTATCGTCGATATATTCACACAAGAAACTCTATTCATAAAAATAATCCGTTATCATGAAAACAACATATTATTCATTAATTGTTTCTATCAGACAACATCCAAACATAAAAAAAAAAAAATGAATTTTATTTAAACGAGAAATAAACAATAATCTCATGTGTATATCTGTATGTCAGATTTTATGAACTCACATTTATTCATTCGAGACAAATATTATCTTATTAATCAAAAATTAGACAAAATAATTATTTGCTCAAAAAAAATGGAACTTTGAATGTTTAAATTTTCTACACAAATTGTCTGAGACATTCATTTATCTCACGTCAACTAGGCTAATTTTATCATATAATTGAACATATTCTATAACCATAATCACTTGCAGGTTTATACGAGAGCATTATGATCATAGTAACGTTTCCACATCGTTTACTAGATAATTTTTTTCTACAAAAAGTTAATCAATAATTTCTTAGAAATAGAATATATATATATATATGTTGTGGAGAAAGTATAGAACTGACAATTCTACAGAATTAGTGGAAAATTTAATCAAGACGATCGAAGAAAGTACAGAATACACTTTGTTGAAGAATTTAAAGATATATTTTAATAACATTTTTAAACACTTTATAAAAATTTTATTTTTTACTAATATTTTTTCTTTCTATCAGAGTTTTTGAAATTCAGTTTTTGTTACTAATGTTTTATGAACATGCCAAAGGAAACTTAAGCTCATATATAATTGTGCTATATTTTCTACAAAGTTTCTAAAATCACAACACAATAGAATAAGTATCGTTGGTGTCAGATTTCATTAAGTGATCATATACTTAGCATGTGTTTTGTAGTAAGTACGAACGTAGATTGAGTAATAGTGATCGATAAAAGAAAGAGATATACAGCTCTTGGCTACTTCAGAGTGTATTTTTTAATATCGAAAAGAATGAGTCGAGTCATTACATAGAATTTCTTAATATTTTAGCCAATAATAGCCTCATTACTCTCGTTTTTGAATAAATTTTTACAATCATTGTGCAGTGAGACATCGATGTGACCTGAATCTCATGATCAGAAATCAAATTTTTTTTATTCAACTTTCAAATGGGTTTTCGAGGAATTTTCTTTCTACGCTCCAACTCATATCTGTTTATACTAAGACCTTTCTTCTCAATCTAAGTTAAAAAAACAAAGTTCATATGGTGCAGAATAAATTATTTGTCAAGAACATGGAGAAGAAACCTTATAAGGATTTTTCTCTATTGTATTGCGATTTTAGAAACTTTGTAGAAAATATAGCACAATTATATATGAGCTTAAGTTTCCTTTGGCATGTTCATAAAACATTAGTAACAAAAACTGAATTTCAAAGACTCTGATAGAAAGAAAAAATATTAGTAAAAAATAGAATTTTTATAAAGTGTTATTAAAATATATCTCTAAATTCTTCAACAAAGTGTATTCTGTACTTTCTTCGATCGTCTTGATTAGATTCCTCACTAATTCTATAGAACTGTCAGTTCTATACTTGGCTATAAGATATATATGAGAAAAATTTCCCAATATAACGGCTGATATGTCTTATCTTCTTTTCATATCTTTGTTTCAAAAAAAGAAATGAATTTATAATACTAGTCAAAAGTAGCTCACTCTTCTATTGTTTTGTTTTTATATAAACTTTTGATCTAAATGTGTGATCTTTTTTTCTATTATCAAAAGAGAGACTTTATTTCATTCTCTTCGTGTTTTTTAACAATAAATAAATATTAAGATTTAAATATAAAAATAGATACATGTAATATATCTGACCTGAACATCAATGTCAGTGTATAGAAATAATTCAATGCCGTTTACGATATTTGTTATAGCTTGATGTTTTCATTATTTTTTTCTTTTGTTGAATTTCACCGACAAGTTCAACTTTTTTCTTATGTATAAAATTAAACAAAGTTGAACCATGTTTAGATGATTGTAATATTGCACCTAATTCATTTTCACTTAATTTACTTAATTGTTGTAAATTTTCAACTTTATTCATTAATAATTTATAATTTTTAAAATTAATACCCGGCATACGAACAAGTATATCCTAAAATTGAAAAATATTGACTAATTGATAAATATAAATGATATCCATCAGTTTTTAAACATGCCTGTACAATGGGATTATATCGTTCATCATCATCAATAATTCCAATTTCTGATGTTACGGTCATAGCACTTTTTGTATCAGGTTGATCACGATCTATCTTTAAATAAAAAATATAAAAGAGTGGAATAAATGTATGTTCGATATGATAAAAATGATTAACTTACTTTCAAATCTTCAAATAATTCAGCGCTAGCATGTGGTGATGGACACCATAATATTCTTAATTTTGGAAAATGCATTGTTAACAGCGCCAATTTTGATGTGATATCGTTCGAATTGAAATCATTTGAAATACCATTTTTATTCTATGATATACAAAATACAAATAACTTAAATGAATAGTTTTTTTATAGAGTTTAAACTACATACGGTTAAATGAAAAACATGATTTTGATTAAATTCAATCAATAATATGGGTCGTTTATAGAATCGTGTCATTTGTAATGCTTGTGTATATAATCGACCATTATTCAATGACTCAATTAAATCTGATACACTTTTTCTTTCAACACATATTTCAGGTGTCAAAATGTAATCACCAACCTTATGGAGATAAAACAAAGAGGATAAAGTGGAGTGCCATTTCATTTTTTAAGAAGCCATCACAATCTCTTTTCTTCTCCATACGGGACAGTAACGAATAAATAAAATAAATTTTTGATCCTTCTTTTACTTTTTACTTCGCTACAAACTCAAACTTTTTTCTCGTAAGTAGACCCAAACTTCTAAAATTTCTTTTCTTATTCTAGAAGAATATTTCATCATTTCAGCCTGTATTTTTTAATCTGTTGATGGTACAAAAACAAATATTTTATGATTGAACTGTAAATTAATAATAAAAAAAAAGAAAAGTTTTTTACTTCAAGTGTAACAGGTTCAATATCGATACCACGTTTGTATATTAATGATGGTAATTCACTTCTAAATTCTCTCATATCAACAATAACCTAAATGACAAAATTTTCTAAAACTATTCTATGGCAAATGAGAGTAAATTTATACCTTTGCTCTCACAGTTTCCGATAATAAACCACCTTTTCTTGTATCAATAACGGTGCCATATGCCATTTGATTAGCAGGTGTAGCATCACGAGATAACAATGGATTATCTTCACAGCGTCCATCACGTTCTTCAGGTATAACCATTGTCTACAGAAATAAATAAATAATATAGAACAATAAAAAACTTCACAAAAAATAAATCTTACAGCTTTTTCTCGAATTAAATTTTCAAATGCATCTTTTTCTTTTTTAACACTTAACAGATAACGTTGTTCTTCAATTGAATTTGAATATAGTAAAAAATAAACACGTAATGGATGATCAATATTTGTCGCTTTAAATACCTATTATCAAAACACAAATAATAATAATTAAACACTCATATCTTTAGACTGAAAAATATGATGACAATGAGTAGAATAGATGTGAGATAAACAAAGTATATCGCAATAATTTACTTCTAATTGTCGAACAAATGTTAATGATGCATCATGTAAAATAACATATCTTGGTCGATATTTTAATAAAATTTTACCAAGTACAAAATGATTATCAATATTGCCACTAAATGGATAAAGAACGACGCTCATATCCGAAAAATCATTAATCACATAGCCACCTTCAATCTAAATGTAGAAACAAAATGTATCCGTTATAACTGTAGATATCTTTTATATGATCAGTTATTATATTAGAGAGTATTTCAAATTGATTACATACATCATCCAATTCAATACCATTTATGGATTTTTTAGTAGTTGATGTATGTTTTTTCTTCTTGTCTTTTTCCTAAAATTAATAAAAGTAATACAATTATCTTTTAGAATAAAAAATGACATACTGTTGAATTTTTTGACTCATTCGATTCATTTGCCAGCGTTGGATGTAAGGTTAGTTCTAATAAATGTTCCAACATTTCGTGACCACCAATTGTCAGATACTAATTAATAAAGAGAACAATAATAGAATACAATCAGAATAAATGAATGTCTACTAGTATTACTTGTTTTAACTGTGAACAAGCACGATCATCAGCACAAACAATTAAAACACAAGGTGATCCTAATTCAGGAAAATTATCTTTCTTTCGAATTTCATCTAATACATCAGCAACTACTTTCCACTTTGGATTTTCTTCTAATTTTGGTTTAGTGACTAGAAATGAGAAAAAAAAAATTTTTTAATTAGAAAATATTTAGAAAATAAAAGAATACCTGGTTGTTCAACATTTACTCCATCATCTTGTTGTGTTTGTTGTTGTTGTTGTTGTTCTTGTTGTTGTTGTAACTTTTTTTTCTTTGGCGGTTCTCCAAATACTCGCGCTTTTGACACCTATTAATGGAATGGATATTGGTAAACAATAATGTTATAGATAGATCTATACCATTAGAAGTGTTTCTGCTGCTGGAAGCAATAGCCAATTGCCAGTTGATGCTTGTGATGAATTTATTGATTTACTTTTATTACCGTACAGTCGTTCATTTTGATAAACACTATAAATAGCATTATAAAATGTCACACAATCATACTGTGTCAAATATAATATAAACAATCTTAATGTTTTTATATCATTAATAATTTGTTTTGTTCTAAAACTAATTTGATTCCATACTGGTTGTAGTTGAATATATATTAGACGATCAAATGTTGTCAATATAACATTATCTGTATTCAATATATCGTTATCCAAATATGTTGTTGACTGTTTTAAATCTTGTAAACAAATATTAATTAAATTTCTTAATGATAATTCAATTTCTATCATTGATGATGTCATTGGTATTTGTAATTCAATAACATCTGGTGCTGATTTATCAAATGTATTACGTATAGTAGCTTGAAATCGAGGATATAAATATAAATTTTTTAAAAATAAATTTTTCATTACTAATTCTAATTGATTATAACCTTTGGAAAAATCAATTGATGAATCACTAAAACCTTTTATAAAACCATGTTTATTTTTCTCACGATATAAACGTAAAATAAATGATTCGGGTGATGAATCAGTAATACGATGAGCACGATAGACAAGTAAACCACTTATTAATTCAATTGGTACACGAAATGTTAACATATCAACAGTTAATATGCTAAAATAAAATAAAATAAAATAATCATTATTTTAAATGAATGTGAGAGAGAAAAATTATTAGCTATTAGATCTTATATATGTACAACTATGATATACTTTTTACTTACCCATTTACTACTATAGCACTTACCGAGATGTAACAAAAAATATTCCACCTTGTAAATATAATTCTCTTCTTTCATTACTTAGAATATCTGTTGTAACAACTCGTGGAGGTGGATCAATACCATCAGCAATAAGTTCCAAAATAAAATAGGCTTGTTCATTATCAGTACAACCCACAATAAATACGAGACTATGATCAGCACAATAAAGTTTAATTATTTCTTTGAATATTCGCTCTAAACCCAGGCCACTAAAACAAATATAATAAAAAAAAGACAGTTGTTACTAATGTAAAGAATATAAATAAGGAAAATGTTACCGTGCTAATATAAGCAAACCATCCTCATGATATAAATTTAAAATAATTTCTGTTTCATATTCAAGAACACAATTATTTATCGATGATACAGTGGATGTTGTTGTTGTTGTTGCTGCTGTAGCCATACTAGTCAATCTTATAATAGACTAAGCCGTAGAAACAAAAAACAAAAAAAATAGTAGACCGTCTAGCTATGTGATAAGTCCAAAATTTTATTATTACTTTGAATAAAACTTCATTCTTCTATCTCCCATTGTTCAAGTTAAATTAAAAAAGATGTCCTAATTTCACTCAGATGATAATCATTAGTTGACCGAGAAATGTTTTATTTTTGATTCATAAAAAAACAAAAAATTTTTTTACTATCAATCAAATACGAATAACCAAATCCCATGCTCTCTAATAGTATCTTCTGAATAACAACTATGAGAAAAATTGACATGTATTCGTATATCAGATCTTACAATTATAAATAGATGAATGAAATGAATTGCCAATAACAGTGGAGGAACACTTGAGAAACAAAGAAAACAAAAAAATGAAAAGTTATGCTAAAGAAAAAATGATGAGAAAAAAATAATGCAAAAAATATTTCAAAATAAAAATAAAATAAAAATGCATAATTATCATCAAAAGATGGATAAAACAATAATAACAATAACAAAAAAAAAATAAAAGTGAAAATTGAGATCTCTACACTGAGAACTGTATCTTTCGTTAAATGTTCTAACTCATTGTCATTTTTCGTCGTTTATTGCTTAATAGATGTGATACATTTGCTTTAATAGCCTCTTCATCATAAAATACTTTGATATGTGAGTATAATTTGTTATAATCTGTTTGAATTACTTTATATTGAAGATTAGATAAACCATCGACATTACGAAGTTTAAAACTTGATTTTAATATGCGATATCTAAAATATAGAGTATGATTAATGATAACGAAACTATTTCATTTTAATACATCTTTCTAAACGATTCTTCACATACTATAGACAAAATTCTGCACATATTCTATCTAATCTCAGATTTTGATAACGATTCTTTAGTTGTTGTTTATTTGTTTCAATGGTAAATTTCAATAAAATAATAGAAAATAGTTTTAAATTCAAACCTGTTTTGATTTGGTTCATCTTTCTCATGTCCAAGCATTCTATATCGTCCAATTGACAATGGATATCTTGATATACGATATTTTGTCATTATTCTAGAAGAAAAAATAAAAGAGAAAAATATTAATCATTGTAATAAAATAAAAAGAAAATCATAAAATATAATTACCGAGCAGCCATATCTAAAAAAAATAAAATATATAAAACAAAAATACAATTGAAATATATAATTTTAATTTTTTCATTTATACGTACCATCATCTTCACCTGAAAAGTGGTGAAAAAAAAAAAATAAAAATAATATTCATTTTTAAAAATCCCAAAAATAGAAATGATAAAATACTGACCACCCCAACCGAAAAAATTATTACAAAATCCATTTAAAGATCTAAACTGTTCTTCGGTCATTGCTGAAACACCACCAAAGATAGTTCGATAAGGTAATCTTAAAAATAAGAAATTAGAATATAAAATATGATTATTCAAATATTTTTTAAAATTACATACTGATAATCTAATGTATTAACAGCAACAGACATATGTCTTGGCTCTGCTGGACAAGAATAAAAATTTCGATCATCTTCTGGTATTAAATCAACATCATGAAATATAAAACATTCCCATGCATAATGTTTGAGAGCTTCTTTAAATCCAATATTGAATAATAATGCACGATTAAATGTAATATTATTTTGCTTTGAAAAAAAAAGAAAGAAGAAAATATGAAAAAATGATTTATTTTGTATTAGTATAATAAGAAAATACTTACTGGTTCGACTAGAAATATCTGATAATCTAATAATTGTTTTTGTAAAAAACTATGTATAGAATATAAAAATATTTTTAATTGAAAAAGTCGATTTCGATAGGGTACAATAATAGCTACACGATTATTTGATGTACAATGTTCTGGCCACCAGTGACCACCATGTTTAACATTAGAATAATATTGTTCAATTTCTTGAATTGTATACGAATGTAAATTAGTATTCACAAGACCAACTAGAAAAATAAAAATGTAAATTAATAATTAGAAAATGATTTAGATAATAATATTATTTTTACCTAAATTAGCAGGTAATAGAGGACATTGAACAATTTGTTTTAGATTATTTGATTCTGTAATAAAATGAACGTTTAATCTTTTTAATAAATAATAGTCTCTTGAATTCGTTATGTTTGATGTAAAAATTTCCTTTCTTGTACGTTCTTCAGGTTTCAGATCATCAGCTGGTAATGTTAAAGAAATATATTCTTTATCATAATAAGAATGATAATAGAAAAAATAATAAACAAATAATAATAATAGTTGTATTAAAATTAAAATAAGTATTTTAAAACGTTTACTAAAGCGGAATGATTTGAACACCATTGAACTAGCACCATTGCAAGATAACTTGAGATTATGACATAAAATAAAAAACAGAAGAATATTGCTGATGATAATACATAATAAAAGTTTTTAAACTAACAACTAGGAAGGGATGGGAGAATATCCTGTTTTTGAAATATTGTCGAAATTTCCAAAATTTCTCTAGACCTAGTTATCTTTTAGATTCTATGCTTTTCGAAAATAATAAAAATTTTCTAGAACCTTATATGCGTTTCTGGATCTTTTCATCCTTTCAGCTTCAGACTCCGTCAGATGTACTTCAGAACATATAGTCAGAGAGATTCGAGTTAGCCGACTAACACGTTCACATAAAATCTTGTATAATCTTACTCATCCTCATCCACACACACCCTTACGTTAACAAACGATTGCGTGGTCTACTTATTCGTTATCTTCACGATTCCTGTAGATAAGGCTTGCGATTCATATCCGCACACACACACACACGCAACCTTTTTTGTACGCATAATTCGCTTCTCTTGTATATTCATAGAAACTACAATACTCTTGAAGATATAAATTTCTCTCTCATTCTCACGAAAAATCTACAATATCAAGAAACTAAAATAACTGGATATTTTCGAAAATAAAATAGATCACTTTAGCCTTTCATACAATACACTAGCCTTTAGCTTTTAGACATCTCTGACAACTAGAGATCAGTTCTCGTTCCATATGTCGTTCAAATGACAAATAGAATGTTCAATGAAATAATAATAATTTTTACATTATCGATGTAAACTTTAGTTTACTTTTAAATTCAAAGAAGCATTTTTCAAGATTTAATATGCAGAGATATTGAGAAACTCTAAAATATATTGACTATCAGTCGGAGATCAAACTAAATCGAATAATTCAGTATTCAATTCGATTCAGTTCGACTTTTAACTGAATCGACTTTGATCGAAGGGATGTTTGATCGAATCGAACTAGACAGTTTAATTAAAGAGCATCGTGTTTTTGTTCATCAATATAAAGATCTTTAACTGTGTTCTTGACTGGTGTAACAAAATCTAAAATTGTTTCCAAATTTGACTTGTTTAACGAAACGATATTTCTGATTTCTTGTAGCTCGCTCAAGTTTAGATCCATTAACAATGAATAATATATTATTTTTACGTTCGATAGAAAATTATAAATGAAAAAGACTAGTCCTATCAACAAGATATTTCTTATGAATAATCTTTTCTTTAATTCATGTGTGAAAGTTCTGTTGACAACGATGCTAAGGTCACTCAAGTGTTCTAACTTGAGAGAGTATATTTTGAATAGACGTTTCAAAACAAAAAAAGGGAATAAAGTTTCCATTTTTATTGAATTAAATCGAACCGATTTAGCTTTTGAAAATGTTCCTCCAAATCGATTCACATTTCCTGATTCCTTTCGGACTCTACTACCAGTTAAAAGTCGACAAAGAGCTAGGACCATAGCTATTGGAATAATAGAGTACTAGTTTAAAGCGTAAAATATGATCAGTTTTACACCAAACGTCTAATTAAATATTGTAAATAAGTCACTTTTTTTTGCTTTAACCTTATGATACTCTTTCACTAGTGTTGTTGAGCATGAATCATGACTTTGTTCAAACTGATAAACAAGATCAAAACTATAAAACATTCTATATCTACAGAGATAATTCTGACATATCGTCTATAAAATAGTAACAATCAATTCGCTAACACTTAATTTTCAAAGTAAAAAAATTAGTAAGTAAATATATTTTATTTTTTCATGACTCAAATAAAGTCCAATAAATGGAAAAATCAAAGTAAAAATACACAAAGAATTTCTGTTTGGACGTACAGCAACAACAAAAAACAAACAGATCATGATCGAATGAAGTATTGTTTTTTAGTAAAAGAAAATGACAGATTAAACACAGAGAGAAATTCCCGTATAAATAATAGCTTATGTACAAAATACCATTAAAGGACGGCGCGAAAAAGATATATATATCGTATAGATCAAATTCATTACAAAAATTGTGAGAAAAGAGATAGGTATTTTTATACAGAAAAACAAAAAACGCACAGTTACTGTTTTGATCTAATTAATGTAAACTTCAAAGAAAAAACGTAACCAAAAGATTTTGATATGTATGATGAAAACAGTGTTGTCATACAAGAAATCTATTTCAAATTGAAATATCATTCAACCTTCGGTCAAAGGGGGAGTAGACCATCCCGATTTCTCATGAATATCGCTAATATGTCGAAATGCTGATAATGCTTTGTGCAATGGAAATGATTCATTTATACTATTAAAATCGATTCTAGCTTGTGCTTTGGCAATTGTTGAGCAAATTTGTAATACTAATGATTCCACGCTATATGCACTTGACCAACCTTGTTTTGTTAATACTTCCATACAAATTGCACCTTGATAAACATGACCTGAGAAAACAAAAAACATAAACAACATGTTTAATTAGAACCCAAAACATTTTTTCGAGAGACTTACCTCCTGTGATAATTGGCTTGATTATACGAACAAATGGGGGTGAAAATGGAAAATTATCTGTGAAGGATAAATTCAATAATATATGATCTGAAGAAAAAAATAGACAACAGTTCAACCACATCGAAATATATGATTCTTATTATTTACCTAATTTATTTACATTTTTTTCATGAGTTGTCAATAATTGTAGATCGGCATAAAGTTTACTATCTTTATCAACATGATACAACTTTAAAAAAAAACATAATGAATAAAGCTATCAAATGGAAAAAGTTAAACGTACTTTCACATTCCAATCGTAAAGAGAATCATCGACTAATTCTACGGTATAAATTCCTTTTTTATAACTTTCAGAACGAAATACTTCACGTAATTCTTTCATTAAACGATCTGTGGCTTGTATGGATGTTGATTTCTTTGGCAATGACACTGCTGAAGCTATGCTACTCTTTTGAGACATTACTGAAGGAGTCGTCGAGGATGCAAACAATTTTTCATACATTTTTTGATGATTTTGTTGTGATGATTCATTAATTCGACGATATTTTAATTTTTCCAACAGCTGATGATTTTCTACACTTATTCCTTAAAGTATGATTAAGAATCGATAAGAATATGAACAGAGAATTACTGTTAAATTTTTTTGTATTTACTCACCATCAATCATCTCTTGTTTATAGTCTCTTTCTGCTATCAATAATGCATCATCATCATCGCCGTCGTCATCTTCTTCTTCATCGCCTTCACTTCTATCTTCTTCTTCTTCCTGGCGATTAGAGCCTTCATCATTACCAGAATCTATAAGAAAAAAATTATTTGAAAATGTTCACTGTTTGTACTAGTGTCTAACCTAGCCCTCGTAAACAATAACATTTTTTCTTTTTTCATTAAAACAAAAATTACCTTCATTTTTAGCTTCTTGTTCAGTTGAAGTGATTGTTGTTGTTTTATTATTAAAATAGTCATTAAGGCGATTTATGATTATTTCTATTTGTTGTCCCATTGTTCTATTACAATCATCTTCATTTAAATATTCAAATATTCGTCCCAATTCTTCATCTATTTCTTTTGATGTATTATTATTATCATTATTAAACCAAAAACATTTGTACAATGGTTCTTGGATAGCACAATCTATTGAAATTGAACTATTTGATTTTTTATTCCGATACGTACTAATAATATGTTCAAACGATTTAGCTGATAATATTTCAAATTGTTCATTGTCTGATGAATATTTTTGTTCTAATAGACGAATTTCTTCTTTAACTGATGCTAATGATCGCATCGTTAGTGTAATCTAAAAGGAAGGTAATAATAGAAAACTAAACAAGAAAACGTTCATGGCATTTGAAAGTATGTATAAACAAAGTAAAGATAATGGAATTGTTTCATCAATATTCTTAATCCTTTCCAGCCTGATGTTGCCATTTGGCAACACTTTTTGCTGTGTTTTCGAAACAGCCGGCTGGAAAGGGTTAACTAGCTCTTTCACAAACGTGAGTACTCAGATTAAGTTTCGAGTTAATCTTAGTTGGCTATTTCTTTTGACTTAGATTTATCAAACGTGAACTTAAGTTAAGTATTGAATTAAGACATCTCCGCAATTATGCTGAGTTGATACTAGAGGTGTTAGCCGACAGACTTTTCGTCATCATCGGTGTGAAGAACGCAAAAGAAATTTACAACCGGCGACGAGCGTAAGGTTTATTTCCTCAGAAATTTCGACGTTCGGCGGCGGCGGCACATAAATGTTTTGCCAAAAGTTTGCTGCGGCGACGGCGGCGTGGCTAACACCTCTAGTGGATACTATAAAACGGCACACTAAAACAAATTGAAAGTTGACTCCAGTCTATGTTTAAGTTCATGAGCTTAACGATATCGATAAAACAATGTCCGGTCTTCAGAACCAGATCGAGTTAAAAAGAAGAAATGAGTATTCAGTTTCGTTTGCAATTAGTTGCAACGCAATTCATAATACTTGTTTTCAGATCAACCCACGAAACATTTTACCGATCACGAGAAAAATATTCGTGTTATTAAATATTACTCAGTGAATGTTTAGATTGATAGACAAAAGAAAATATAATTCATCTATTCACGGTTGAACAATCCAAAAGGATGAAAAAAGGGAAATCTTCGTTACATTATATTCAAACTCAAACGTACAGAAAGGAAAGACAAGCTAGGCGTCATACAAGCTAGACAAGTTGTAAAAAACCAGATCAGGATAAAGCACAATCAAATTTTTTTAATTGTAGATTTACCTTCTTAGAACGATACAGCATACAAAAAATTTGCAATTTTTCGGATAGTACTACAGTAACTAAGGACCTACGGGCGGACTTCCACGCCACAATTATTATGAAATTCAAGATGTTTTTATGTCATTTTCTGATGGTTTGCTTATATTGATTACGGCATGTTACGATCGAAAACTAGACAAAAGCAATACAGTCACCACCATCACCTCAGATTCATATTAGCGACTATTGTCTTAATTTTTACGTCCGATCTATCCTGATCCATGACAGCTCATCTTGACTGGAAGACAATCTCGAACCACAACGAACAATAGGTATTAATTACTGAGATCGCTCACTGATTTAAATAAACATGAAACGTGAGAAAAATGTGGATCATTAAGAAATATACGCAGTAGATATTATTCTCAAAATGTAGAGTATTCTTCATCGAGTATATATATAGAATGTAACCTGCCAGCTAAAAGAATTAATGGTAAAGGCTGAAAGTCTATTTTTAATTGGTGAATTACATTAACAAATGAACGCCATTACAGATGAGATACATGCACGAGACATGTGGATCATATCATGCGTACATATATGTAGTTTTATTTTGTGAATATTATTTATTTATTCATTTTACTAAAAAAGGTCAGATTGTAACATTGGTTTTTGGATTATTTTTTACGTCATATAGTTCCAATTGTTTTTTTCTTCGATGTTTTTTTATACTCATATCTACACATAAATAGTTCATCTGTTCAATTGTGCACACCGTTCAGTCATTAACATTAATATAAACGTCTGCAATTCTATTTTTATTAATTCTTTTACAATGGTTGAATGGTTCTTTCCCTGGTCAAATTCTTTAAAAACACGTGCTTGTCGTCAATTAATTCAACATTATCTTGGAATCTTTCTCCAAGAAAAACTTTCGCTTGATCAATTATCAATTGATTTGTTTTCTGGACGAGTTCAAGTGAAAGATGTTATTTTAAATTTAAGTGTAAGTTCTACTTCTACTATTTCTGATCTTAAAAAATGGGATTACTATTGTGTTTAAGGTATTAAATGAATCATTAACACATAATAATATTCCATTTGAAATAGTCAAAGCTTATGTTGGAGAAATTAATTTACTTATCCCATGGAATTCGTTGATTAAAGATAATTCTTTACTTGATATCAAAGAACTTCAAATAACGATTCGACCAAACGAGACGAAGAAACCGAGTATGCCTACTATTTCTTTAAATGGTATTGGCGTATTGTGGTTATTGTTATCGCCTTCATTTTTCAGTTATTACATCAGAAACAAGTTTTGAATTATCTTCCATGTTTAATAGTATGAATACGAGTATGCTTATAGCACAAGAATGTTTAAAAAATGAAATAGAAGAAAATCAAAGCTATCAAGGATTAGAAACGTTTGCTGCCACTATTGATTCAAGTAAGAAAACTGTTTTGATTCAGTTACGCAAAGCAAAAAAAATATATGAATTATTATTTTCTTCTTCTCAGTATTGGCACGTGTTCGTGTTACTCTGACTGACACAGTAATTAGAATGGAACATTTAATTAACGATGATGATCATGGTGTTGCTTTGGAAATTCGTATTAAAAAGTTAGAATTATAAAATATTTCTTTTTAATTCTTAAATTTTTAATTTTTTTTTCTTTGTAAGGTTTGAGTACTATGATAGTGAAGCCAGTATTGATTTACATTTACCAACCGATTCAAAACCATTTCTTCGTCCAACTATCTTTACAAATAAAAATTTTGTACTAAGTGGCGTGAGTTTATATACCGATGAATTTTTGACGTATGCAAAAAAAAGTTCAATGACAGAATCGATCATTGAATTTTCAACATCAGATCATTTGATAGCAGTAAGTAATTTATCATTAATAAAGAATATGTAATGAATTTTATCTTGATATTCAAGGATAGTATGACAACAAGTGTCGTATCGAATGCTTCTTCTTCTGCCACACGAATGGTTGGTTATATTACATATGAGCAAATACTTTGTCTAACTATATCTGGTACACAAGATATTCGATTGAAATTGAAACAATCTGATCAAGTCTTTGGACCAAAAGTGAGTATGATAATTTGTAGAAAACAAAATTATTTTTTAATATTTTTATTACAGGTTGAAATTGAAGCACATTGTGGCTCAGTTACATGCTTGTTAACACCAAAACAACTACAATCGTTAATCGTACTTGTTACAGCATATCAGAAGGCTGGTGAGAAATAAATTGATTTGTTTGTTTATTTATTTATTTGTCTAATTGTTTATTTCTTTTCAGCACTAAATAGTACATCAAAAGATGATAGACAATTAAAATCCAAACTAAAAAGTCGTCCAATGAATGATGATGATTTTAAAAAAATTGAACAAACACTTGCTGAAGAAATTCGAAAAAAAAATTTTCCTTCAGAACAAACAGATTTTTATACTTTTAATGATACCGAATTTAGAGGTAATACAGTATGATAGTAACTTTGTACATTATTCATTAATGAATATTTTGTATAGAAACGCCGGATTCAATGTTTTGTTCAGCAAAAGGAATGTCAGCTAGCATAGATCTTCAATCCTCTTATACAAGTAGTCGAAATGATAATGCATCTGTATCAAGTATGTATAAATAAAAATATACTCTTATTGTTTACTTGATGTATACTATTTTTAAGATCGACAAAGATTATCTGATAATACTCTCGTAAATACATCTATTCCAGATACTACTCGTTTAAAAGGTAAATATTAAAATAGGTTATATATATCTTTTCATTTTAAATTTATTTTCGTCATTTGTTTCATAGAACTGTCTCGTCATCTACTTGAACAATCTCCATCATGTGCAATAACAAAATGTCGTTTACAATTCAATTTTATTTCCGTATGTTTGTTACATCGTGATTTACAACCATCATTGAATGACTGTAAAATATCCATGACAACGATATCATCACCACTTAAAGATTTTGCTGACGCTTATTTTGAGAATACATCAACGATAACCACATCCGGTTTACTAACAACAGACAAACAAATTAGTGAACTTCGTGAAAAATATTCGAATGCCTGTTTAAAAGATCATCTTAGGTGAATTGAAATGATCATCAATTTATTGATTGAGAAAATATTTGTTTTCATTTTCTTTCAGTATCATTGGCAAACCATTTACTCTTGATTTTTCTCAACAAGTAGCGCAAAAATGTCTACGGTTTGATTTGGATATAAGACTGGGATTTTTTGATGTTTGTGAATGTCTTCGGAAAGAGAATACCACAAGTACACATCAACAGAAAAATACATCTGTCACAGACATGATCTATAATCGAGTATGTTTCTTTCTCTCTCTCTTTCGTCACCTTAAAGTTGACTATATTAGATGTCTATTGTTAATCTTAGCTTGTAACATTTAATCGTTCTGACAACGACTCAACATCTCACTCATTTACATCATCTTTAAACAGTATAACATCATCTATTCAAATAAATATTTCAAACTTCAACGTACTGAATTCAAATGTAAGAGATGTTTAATACTTAATCACACTATTACTTTAATTTTTAATTTTTTCTTTTTAAGCAAACAGCAACAAGAAGCTATGATCGACAATTATCATCTGTTTGTCCTTATACTGATATAAATATACGTCTTGCTCAATGTCAGATTGATTTTGATATTTCAATCATTGACAGAATACATTGTCTTCTAAAAGCATGTCAGATTAATCAAACACATCGTCATCAAATGGCACAAGCAGCCGCTACACATTTTCACAATCATAATTCTCAAGTTAGTATATTTTAGAAAGAAGATAAAAAATGTCTTCAAAAGTAGATAAATCTTGTAATAATGAAGTGTAACAAGAACTAGAGTTGAATTAGTCCAAATTTTTTGTATAAATTTTACTTTTCTGTTTTTTCACTTAAATTGATATTTCATTTTTTTCACAATCTTTTCTCTTGTTCTTTTTAGACACTATATCAGACGTCCTATGAATCCAATGATAATTCATTAATAATGCTCAATATTAGTTCACCATTTTGTACATTCAATTTAAGGTATGTCAAATAAAATTCACTATATTTACTTCATACATTCGACTTTTGTATTGTTGTATTATTTTTTTTGTTTAAGATTTCCTATACCTGATTTACAGCCATTAATAAAACGCCGTCCATGGTGGATACAAACCATACATAAAGAACTTCTTTGTTTTGATTTAAAACAATTACATTTTAAATCTAATATTTTATTAAATGAAAAAACAGAAAATAATAAATTTGAAATTACATCAGAATGTATTCAAGGTAATTGAATGTTTTAATTTAATCTAATAAAATATTAATTATAATAAAAAATTGAATTATTTTCTAGTATATTTTATGACGGATATAGAATCTAATGAACGTATGCATATAGCACAAGTAGAATGTGGTAATGGAGAAATAATTAAGTAAGTACGAATAAACAAACAAACAAGAATATTAATGAAGGTAATATTATTAAATATGTTCTATTTAGATTAGTCATAAGTTCATCGGATCAAACAAATAATCTTCTAAATCAACTTGATCATATTTCAGAAACGTTATGTGAATCAGTCATATGTCGTTTACCAACAACGGATAATAAAGTACCATTATCAAATAAAAATGCGTTATACGATAATCGACAAGTAAAGATTATATTTCTTATTTTTTATAAAATTCTTTCAGTATACCAATATATTTAAAAGTAGTGAAATAATTTTTCTTTAATATAATTTTAGATGTTAACTGCTGCTGAAGCTGATGATATGGATCGTTTTTTTTCAATATGTAGTGAAGAAACAAAACTTTATGTTCACATTTTAATACCCTATTTAATGTTGTATATACCAAATCAAAAGTTTTTAGAAAATATTTATAACAAGTATATCTCCTAATTCTTCTGATACCTACACAACTATATACCTTTTGAATCCAATTTTTTTTTTAAATAGATTTGTGAATAATTTATTCATGTGGGAATGTTCTGCTCCATGGTCAAATACAAATAACGATCATATGTATTCCACCACAACAGGAATGAATGATTATCGAAATCCTCGTCTTTATAATTCATTTTACTATCAAAATGACAATAATAATCCTCGATCTGATGGAAAATTTCAAACGTGTAAAACTGGAATCAATGCAGGTAAAATTAATTTATTTTTTTCATTATTTTTTTCTATAGTATTTTATTGATTTTCGTTTAGATTTGTCAGATTCTGACACAAATGTTTCGGATGCTGACGATAACATAGAAGATGATGAAGAGAGAAAAGCAAATGGTGCACATAATTTGGTACTAAAATTGGATATTAAAGATCTTCATATCGCCGCATTTGCTCCATCAGCACCATTGGTATGTATAATCGTTTGAGAGTGAACAATATTTCTAAATGTTTTTTTGACTTTTTAGAATGAATTAAATGAAACGGAGAAGAAGACGACAACGACAACTCATGTTGGTGAATTTAGAATTGACGGAAAAGATTTGACATTGGCTATCGTTGATGGTTATCATTCTGATCCAAATTTACAATATTTTTGTCTGATGACAAAATCAGCATCACTTCATCATAATGGTAATATTAATTGTATAATTCTTTTCTACCTGATTGATATTTTTTCTCTTCTATCTGTCTGTATTATCAGGTCATGCTATTCCCTTAAAAAACAATGCCAGACTATCCGATGTAATTGGTCGTACATTACCGGAATTAATTCGAAGTTTACCACCAAATACATTTCCGAAATATAATCATAACGATAGTACTATGATACGAGCTGCATTTGAAATACGAACGAACGCTGATCGTTCAAATGGGAAACAAAAGGTGAGAAAAATCTTTCATTTTCTGTTCAAATCTTAAATTTTTTTATATATTTTTATTCTAGACTATTCGTGGTTCATTTTCTATTGATGGTGCAATGTTACATCAAAAATTTGTTCCCAAAGCAGAAAACTGGCTGTTACAAGTGAAGTTTTTTTTTTCATATTAGTTATGCATCTTGACACTTATTTTTCTATTTGTGCTTTTAGTTAATTGAATTATTTGATTTAACTGATGATGAAGTGCCCGGCTATATACCGTCGACTTCAGTGGTTGAATGGTATTTGGAATTTCGACATTGTGCAATAAGTTACAGGTTTGCATCGTTTTTATATAGTATGAAAATGAAAAAGGTGAATAAGTGAAACTTTTATCACTTTTAGACCATTGCATTTTGATGTGAAATGTTTTGTGGCAATTGAATCCTTAACATTGGCTAGTACATATGTGAAAAACAGTAAAACAACTCTACTTGAGTATGTATACGTTCTGTCAATACAATTCCTTGTTATGTCACTCTAGAAGTATGAATACCGTCTTGATAGAGTAAAGCTAAGCTTTTAGGTAGACTTGCATTTGACTGACTGATCTCCGTTTTATTTTTTCCATTAAATACATTGAACTTAGATAACAGAGTATAATTAATTCAAATTTCTAGACTAGATCTGGATGAATGGGCAATATATTTATCAAAAAAACGAGAGAAATATCAAATTGATGTTCAAAATGGTAAAAGTCAAATCAGATCGCAATGCTCAGTCATTTGAAACAATATTTTGTATTTAGATTACGTGTGTGTTATGAATGGTGGTGCGTTTGAAGTTAAATTATGCTTTAATGACTTGGTTGAGGAAATTTTGGTAATTCAGTTTTGAATTAAACTGTTTTTAATTGAGATCTATTTCCCAGAAAAATTAACTCGTTTGGAATTTTTTCTTTTCTTTATAGAAAAGTCCATTGGTTGATATTAAAATCTCTTGTAATATGATCAATTTACGAACATGCTCTGATTCAGCAGCAGCATTAATTGACTTATTGAAATATATTGTTACTGATGGTGATTTACAAACACATAATAACTCAACAACTGAAAACATACCAACAGACACAGTCAGAAAACATGAAAGACCACCTAGATTATCTATCGGTCAAATATTTGATGGTGGCGATGATATTGATGACAATGTAAGAATGTTTCTTTTTAAAAATTTAAATTTAAATTGTACAATTTGATTTTTGAAGACATCAACTTCGATATTAAAAGAGACGAAAAAACCTAGTCAAGAAAGTTTACAAACAATGATGCTCGAAGAAGCAATGAAAGAGCAAAAGCCAGGTAATTATATCGTTTGTACATTTTCTTTCGTTTAACTAGAAAAGTATCTTGTCATTCGATTCATTTAGACCAGATGCATACTCAAATATCATCATCATCTATATCGTCATGTACTTTAATTGATCATCAAGTACATCCATCTCCATCAAGAACCATCGCACGTTCTTCACCAACTATAAAAATGAATCAGTCAGACATATTACCACCAATTCTGTTCGATACGCATCAATCGGATAGTGATAATGAGATTAAAAATGATGATATTGAATTTGAAAGTGGGCCAGTATTTTCACCATCATTACAAACTGAGACATCAATTCATTATCGAAATACATCTGTATCTGTTCCATCCTTTTCATTGCTGTCAAAAGTATCAGAAAAAAGTAACAATAGAATACGGCAACAACAATCATCAAATTGCCTTTATGTTGGTAGTGAACGACGTAATGATGATTTTAGAGAATTTGAATTGATTGAACGTGAAATTGGAATGGGAAGACCAGTGAGTTATTTTAATTCATATATATATATATATATATCATAGTAGAAATTAATTTTAGCCACAAAATGGTGTATGTCAAATACATGTTTTAACTGATCAGACAATACATATTAATGACAATCATTTTTCTAAACCCTTGGAGCGTAATGATATATTAAATGCGCCATCCTATTTACCGGTGCCAACATTTCGTTTTTCTATTCGTAATTTATCATTGGTGTGGTTTATTTACGGAGGCAGCGATTTCAAAGAAAAATCAAAATCAGGTAAATTAGTCATGTTATATATAATTCAAAATATATTCTCTGATATTATGTATTCTAATATTTAGACGATGGTCATCAACCACTTGTACAGTTAAATATTGATGAATCGATTCGATCTTTGTAAGTATGTTTTAAATATCGGCTCTTTATTTGTTGTTGAATAAATAAGTAGTTCTAGATATCTAGTTTGGTTTTTCTTTTCAAATATTAAACATTTAGTCGATAGAAACTTGTTTTGTAATAATCATCTAGTAATTGAACGTGTGCCGAGTCATTTTTGTCATTTTTAAAATATTTTCACTAAACTTTTTATTATAGTCCGGTGCGATTTAGTGCAGTAACATCTAAGTAAGTTCTACATTTTCTTTTTTATTGTCTTTGAACAATAACGTTTCTTTTTGTTTAACAGTGATACAATAGGTGGAAATACAACTGTTCAATCACAAAAAAAAGCGGGTGGACGTTTATTGAGCGCTTATGATCCTAGTCAGTTAAATCGACGACAACGAGGTGGTACATATCGTGATCTTAATACGAGTATGGAATTTTCTATAACTAAAGTGAGTTGAAAGCGGTTCGTTTTATCTGAAGATTTATCATTGTTTTCTTCATACATACAGGCTCGATGTCAATATGAAATATATCCTGATAAAGCAAAGCAATGTTCACGTTTTGCGTTTGCCATACATGAATTCGAAATTCGTGATCGATTAATAGCACGTTCAGAAATCAATAAATTTCTTTATCTCTATACAACAGAAGCATTACCAAGACGTACTCATGCTGATATGGTAAATTAATTGTGTGATTTCTCTTGTAAAAGATAAAATATTTTTTTCTCGTCTGTTTTAGTTGGTTATTAAAGTTCTTTATACTAAACCAGAAGGTTTTGATCAGCATTCACAAATTGACGGAAAAAAATTGGATAATGATGTATCTGACATTAATGAACTTTTAGAATGTGAAATTAAAGTTTCATTACAACCATTACGTATCAATATTGATCAAGTAAATAGAAAATTTTTGATTTACCGAACAATTAATTATCAACGATTATTTCTATTTTTTTCTTCTAGGATGCGCTCGTGTTTATGCGTCAATTTTTTACGGAATTAACTGTAAATAATTCGTCAAGTGTAACAAATGAAACATCTTCTAATTTGCCAGGTATATTTGATAAAACTTGATTCACTAGTAGCCCTATTTATCATCTTTATTTGTCGTTTAGGGTATCAAAATTCATCGATGGATGCTGATCATGATGACAACACTTTCTCTAGTTCGCCTCGGAGTCCAACATCAGTTTTAGCGACACCAGTGTCATCGTCACCACCATCGTCAACATCCGCCGGTCCATCGGTATTTATTAAACATTTTGTATTTTCTCCCTCTGTACCAATACGCCTTGATTATCATGGAAAATTACGTAATGAATTATTATTCGAACAAGGACCATTCTTAAATTTATTAATCGGTTTAGCTCAACTAAATAAAGTTGATTTAAATTTAAAACGTATATTCTATAAACGTGGTCTACTTGGTTATGAACGTTTGTTAACATTTATATTAAACGAATGGTTACATGATATACGTCCAACAGATGTTTTAAAAGGTATTGTGCCCATTTCATCCATTACTCAAATTGTTCAAGGTATTCGTGATTTATTTTGGTTACCAATTGATCAATATCGAAAAGATGGACGAATTATTCGAGGTATTCAACGTGGTGCATCATCGTTCACTACCTCAACAGCATTAGCTATCATTGAATTAAGTAATCGTTTAGTTCATTGTGCACATATAGCTGCATTGCTTTGTTTTGAACTTGTATCTCCTTCCACTTTATCAACAGCATCCTCATTATCATTACAACAGAATTCATCATCTAATAATCGTATAATGGTTCGTTCACATCCACCTCCAAATGATATTAGAGAAGGTGTATCTTATGCTGTTAATGTTGTACGACAAAGTATAAATGCCACATCGCATACATTGAAGACTGAAGCACAAATAGGAAAAAGACGTAAAGGTGTTTTAGGTGTAGTAGGTGGTATATTACGACAAATGCCAGCTGTTGCTGTACAACCACTTGTAACATCAACAAAGGCGGCTGAAAATTTTCTTGTAGGCGTTCGAAATCAATTAGATCGAGACGAAAGAAATGACGATAAAGAAAAATATAAGAGTCAGTGATATTTGGTGTAGATTCAATCTGTTTCGTATTTTGTTTTCTTTAAGAAAAAAGTAGGTTCTATTTTATTCTTTGTATATATGATGAATGAGAATTGTGTTTATTTATTTTTTTGAATATAAAGTTCTTACAAACGTTGTTATTATTTCCTAGTTCTTTTTTTATTTTGTCATTCTGGTTGATTTCTACTTTTCTATCATGTGCTGTGCGTGTTTGTATTATAGTTATATTTTTTAACAGATAAAAAAACAAACAATACCTATTGTAAATATGCTCACTTTTTATCGATGCAGTTCTTTTGCCTTTCATAGTGTTGTTATATAGGACGAAAGACATTTTCCATTCGTTTGTGTACATTGGTGCTCATGTATTTTCTATAAGCGATTATTTTCTCTTTCTGATATGAAATAATATGCGCAGCAATTTATTATTTCGCTTTTTGACCTTTTTTTTGTATATTCAGGTTATTTATTTGTATACGTTGTTACACTCTAAAACATAAAAATAAAATTGATTGTTGTCTCTATGGTTTACTACTTTTAAATGAAAAAAAACATTTTTATTATTCCATTTATATATACAACTTTAACGTTATGATCATTTCTATGAATGATAACACATGATAGTAGTTAGAAATCAGTAGCACCAATAAAATCATTAACGACACAATTTTTAATCATTGTTCAATATGCTGATGATGAGGCATTATTCGTTTAACATTAGCTAAATGTGTCCTAGCAGGTCCTATCTCTTAATGAGCCTATAATTTCAATTTTGAGAACCAAGATTTGCTCGACTAGCTTCATTAAAAACGTGGTTGTTCAATAGCATAAGTAAAGAAAAAAACAACAGCTAGTCGTTCTGATACCCTTCTTCTAGTAATCTCTTCGTATTCACTGTACCATAACAGGTAAGACGAGATAAATGATACGTGTCTTTTAGCGCTAACTAAACCATTATGTTTTATTCTAAGGCAAACACAGTATCGGCTTAGACAAAATAGCATTTACTTGTGGATGAATTTGGACCACACGGTGTTAATACAATGAAAGCAATTAAAAAAGGATTAGATCCATTGAACATCTTAAATCCAGGAAAAGTTATATAAACTTTCTTTCCAAACCTTTTTTACGATGCTGAAAGTAATTTTGACAATGACAATGCACTTTCTGTTAATTCATATGAATTTTTTATGATATTTACAGCCTCAACTTTGTATCGATGTGCTTATGAAATGTGATATCATCACATTAGATATAATCAAATTCATTCATAAAGGGTGGGCCAGAAGTTCTGACCCGATTTGAATAATAAATTTTTCTATAGTGAAACAAGTGGTTGTAAATTTGTCTCTAT